ATAAATGCCACGAGAGCACATAATTCAAACCTTGTCACGGAATGAGTCAAAATGGTAGTAAACGAAGGCAAACTTTGCCTACAGTGCGGACCAATGGGAGAGCCGGAGCATAGGAGGTCAGTTGGTCAATTGTGCTTTGCACTTGTAGCTTGTGTTGATTAGATTTCAAGAATGGAACGGACATGCCTCTATCTCATATAAAATGGATTATACACGGGGTGAGCTTGTGTGCCTAGAATAACATTCCTATTTGTCATATTTGTTGGTGTCTTTATTGGCTCGATCTGGAGGAGTTATCTATAAATTTATTACAACGGCTTGAAATCGGGCGAGAATCTTTAAACCTAAGTGCTTAACATGGAAATAAATTTTACACATTGGGTTACAACATTTATTTATTTATACCAAATGGCGGGCGTTTTGATAGTTATCGTTAGCCCTTTAGCTGACTTCGGGCTTCACAGAGGGGAGGAGTTAAAAGAAGAGACAGACACAAAGGCTCAGAAAGGGTAAGATGAGTACTGTAACAGACACAAAGGCTCCAAAAGGGTAAGATGAGTACTGTGTAGGGGTCGAATATGACACAGTGGGGGTCATGGTAGTTTGAAGTGAGAAGTCAACGTGAGTTTGGGGGTCGTGGTAGTTTGAAGTCAGAAGTCAACTGCAGGTTAATAGACTTTTTTGCCATATGAGTATACGTTGCCCATAGTGCATGAGGTGGTGGTAGTTTGAAGTGAGAAGTCAACTGCCTTAGTCGAATATGACATACAGTGGGGTCAGAAGTCACTGCCATACAATGGGGTGATGGTAGTTTGAAGTCAGAAGTCAATAGCCATATAATAGACTTTTTTGCCGTATGATTATACGTTGCCCAGGGCGCACCACGAGGAGGTAAGTCTATCCCATAGGCCTAAGTTACAGCATTATTTCTTTATTCTAGCCTATTTCGAGCAGCGAATTAATTTATTCGGAAAATTCAACCTTTATTGTGGAGTTTGCTGAACAAATAGGTAATAGATTTAATACCGATAAAGCGATTATTTCGACGATGCAAAAAAATATTCGCTGTTGAGTCTAAAGTAAGCGAACGTACATCGTTTCATCTCTCTACGTGGGACAGCACTCGGAGTGAGGGCGATATTTCAAGCATGCGGGATGTCAAGAGTACTTTGTTAGTCCCATCAGGAAGAAGAGCGAGGGGTTTAATAAATTTAAAGAAAATTTTACTATTATCGAATAGTTGTATTCCAAATAACTATTCTTAATGTTTATTACGGCATAAATCAGTGAGACGGGTTGCAATAATAGCTGTAATTCAATCAATTAACTGGTTAACTGTAAAGCAATTTTTAGTTCTTCTTTGGGGTGTGGCAAGAGACCCAATCGCTTTGACCTGTAGCAGATTCTGAAGGAAATCTCCTGATAGAGTTAAATCAGATCAGATGTTCTGTTATGAGGCTACACCAATCTTCTCAGGGAAATGCCGTTTTATTACCAGTGTTGAGGGAGCTTCGAGCAGCGACCATACTCGGCTCAAATTATCTTGATTTTAATTATTCCCTTCCACGATTCAGGTTTGGGCCAGTCAGTCGTTCCCGGTTTCCTCGCGTATGAATCGAGAAGAATTCAGTTTTTTTAAAGAAAGCGCTGTGTACACGAAAACCTTTAACATCCTGGTTAAGACAACCAAATGTGATTAATATTCGACATTTAAATCTAATGAGTAGTTTATTATAATGGAAAAAGGGGTGTTCGATCGACTTACCTCCACGTGATACACCCTGGGCAACGTGTACTCATACGGCAAGAAAGTCTATAAACCGGCAGTTGACTTCAAACTACCATCGTCCCACTGTTTGTCATATTCGACCCCAACACAGTACTCACCTCATCTTTTTCTACCTTTGTGTCTGTCTGCCTCCTTTACATCTGTGAATCACTCTACTGTTCCCCCTCTCGACTTTGATGTTCCTCCTCGTCTCTGTAAAGCCCGAAGTAAGCTAAAGGGTTAATGATTACCATCAAAACGCCTGCCGTTTGAAATAAATAAATTATGGGAAAAATGGAGTAATCTCATCTACCTTCTTTCAGCGGTTACGAGATCAACCATGGTACTTAGTGTATCACCTAGCTCAGCATTTCTTGGTGAATTCTCATTCATGAACAGTGTACCTCTTAGATGACGGCACACACCCCACTGCTTCCTTATGTCATTCCACACTGGACTCGTTTGCTGATTACCTTATTCATATGCCCTTTGCATTCCCATTGGAAATAAAAAAAGCTATAATGTCTGATTTTAATAGGAAAATGAACAATGAACAAATTAACAATATACGGGAAAGAAGGTGTAGCTTTTCAATCACCTTCATATCAAATTTGATGGTAAATGCATTGGTTTATTGTTATTATGCCTCCCTTAGAGAACAAAGCAAATTTCCATGGAAAGTCCATCGTTGAAGCGAAAAGTTGCCATAGGAACCGAACAATATGCATGTATAAAAGGCTAAATCAATGTCATATTTCGTTATTGTAGCACTCTTGACAAAAGTTTTGTTACTTCCAGAAATTTAATAACAGTTAAATATACCTTACTATCTCGATATATAAGTCAATTAAAGACCATAGATAAGTTCTCTTTACGGTGGCTAATTGAACATGTTAGTTGTACACTTTTTAACATCACTATCACGATCTCTGTAATTTTACGATATCTAAACTCGAAAAGCCGTAAAGTAGCCCAAACGGTTAAATCAGTTAGTGGGCAACGGCTCCTTGTTTGAGATCCGAAGTAGTCCCTAACCACAGCTAGAACTATGCATACGTCTTGCATTTGCAGTGCATTGATGTAGGCTTCAATCAATCTTGTCTGGTCCCTTCTTTTGTTCTCAAAGACGTTTCTCATTCTTCCATCCTCTCCATCTTATGATTACTGACTAAACATAACGCCTTATTTCCCCTGTTGCCATACAGAGTATTCTTTGTGGGTATTTTCGTATTTTTGTGGTTACTCAAGATCAAACTCTTCTTTTGAGTTCAGACGGGTTTGACTGCCTCTCGGTAGTTGGCTATTTATTTTAGCGAGTCAGGATATGGCAGTTACATTCTATCAATCTAACAAACGTGTATTGATTCTTCCTTTCTCAAAATATTGCCTCTATCTTATTAGTTACAATCTTTCGTTCTATTGGACTAAATGCAAATTTCAAGGAATCAAAGGAGCCCCATTTCGGCCTTCCTTTCTTCTTACACTGTGGTAAGTTAAATTCAGAACTGCAGAATATGGTATTGGAATTTCTGATTGGAATATATGAGTTCAAAATCAGAAGCTTATTATCTTTCGTGATAGTCAATGAGTAGATCTAATTTACGCCTAAATTTGGCCATGAAAACCGTCTCTCGCCATAAATGGATTCAACTATGTAGTTTTCAATAGATAAAAAACTTTATTCCACTACTATTCTACAATAGTTCTCACATTTAATTTTTTAATATTTAAGCGAAAAGTATTATGGAATTCGAATAGAAACATGGATATTTTATGGCTTTAACGCCTCAGGCAAGTTGTGGAATATGTTTATTTTGGAAGCTTGTTACAGACTGGGAACTTAGTCATAATAACTTAGTGGAGGGTTTGCTAGATCATGCAGGCTCAACTAAATATATCAGAATTAATTTATTTCGAATAACTCCTCATAGCCGAAAAAATTTTAGACAAAATTAAACTGGAGGCTCTAGCAGAAGCTGGTTGTATTTGTTTGTAGATTATCGAACTTGCAAGAACATTGATAAAGTCTAACTGAGAACTTATTTCCGTCACATTTTCATGGTGGAAAGGAAATATAAATGAGCATTTAATTATAAAAATAAGAATGAATGACAATCAAGGGTGATTTGGAGCCACAACTGAGGGCAAAATTCAATATTTTTCAGTGACTAATCAAGTGAATACGACGAAAGAGCAGTACACAAAACACTATTCTATTTCATAAACTTCATTAGTTAAGTCAAGTCCTCAGTATAAAAACGGTAATAAACGAATTCAAACGGCAAAGTTTAGTATAGTTTTGGCTAATAGAGTTAAAGTTAAAGCAAATACATGTCAAATTTACGAATTTTATAATTTACAGCAATTATGACATCATCTTTATTTATAATTATTCGAAGGTAATGTGAATTTATAAATGGGAATGCTTACTATGGCAATATATTAAATTTGAAAATATTTTTATTGTAACCAAATAAGCAGTTCATTCATTTCCACTTGGATTCGTTATGGGGGAATGTAAAAAGCACATTGAATATGCTAGCAGTGTGCTTTGAAAATAAATCGTCGAATAGTGATAAAACCAAAGATTCTTTAATTTTGATTATTTATATTTTCTTTAATTATCTTTCGCTAAATAAATTCCCACGTTTATAATAGCAATAAAGAATTTTTAATAACATATTTAGGAAATTAACTTTTTTAATTATAATCAGTTCTATTATTTCAACTTTATATAAATTTTTTCCTGATGTGTGTTAGGTTGAATTACTTAATTTAGCTTGGCCAATTATTTGTGTATCAGCCAGTATAGCCGGGCGTCGGTAAGTATTTCTACTTTTTCTCTGTAGTTATTTGTAGGCTTTGAATTATCTTCTTTTATTTCTCTTTTCAATAGCAATATCTTTCTTGGGAAAGTTTTGCGCTCTATCATTTAATGTCTTATGTATATATGTACCTCTAGTAACATTTATTTCTTTTTCTAATTACGTTGGGTTCTGTTTTTATATGTTCAGTAATTTAAATGTCTTTCGTTTTCTTTTTAAATCATTCCTATTTACTAAATAAGGTTCATAGTTGTACCATGTTCATGTAAAGTTAGTCATGCGTATTGTTATTGATGGTTGTAGACAAGTGTTATTGGTTGCAAGATCACTCGTTTTGAATTCTCTAATTATTCAATTTTATTGTTCATATAGTTGTGTTTATTCGCAATTTTAGTTCCTTCACTGCTATGAATTCAAGGCTTAAGCAACGTATACAAACAGCCAAGGATGAAAAACGCTTCTATGAGGCTCATCAACTGTACAAGTCCGCCTACTATCGCAGTAGTTCGCGTAAAACTAGTGGCGATATTCTTGAAGATCTCTTAGATGGTGTTAGATTTTTTCTTGACAATCAACAATGGGAATGTGGCAGTGATCTAGCTTGTATATGCATTGATGTCATTGTTAAAAACCAGAAGCCTATTACAGACTCATTGCTTAGATCCCTTTGTCAGTTCACAGCATCGATGCCTCAGACTTGTCCCGATCGGCTTAAGTTTATCTCTAAGTGTCTTTCTCTTTTGGAAAAGGACGAGCTCAAGCTTGGTGCTTTCAATGAATTTCTTGGACGCCAGTTACTCAAAGAAGGTGCTTTTTCGCAAGCCAGAAGTCGTATTATGCTAGCTGGAGACGGATACAAAGTTGGACTCTTTCTAATCGAACTCCATCAACTTCATGGTTTAGTCTCAGAAATCGACCTTTTTGTCACTCAGGCTGTTCTTCAACTCCTTTGTGCTAAAAAGACTGCTGTTGCCGCCCTCACTTTCCACACTTACACACGAAATCATCCCAAACTTGAAGCCGGACCGCCGTTTATCCACTTTCCACTCCTCAATTTTGTTTGGTTATTGATGTTAGCCATTGAAAGAAAGCTTAGTTATGATGTTCTCTCTTTCCTCTGTAATCAGTATCATAGTCAACTTATGCGTGATCCTAGTTACGCTGAGTATATTGATAAGATCAGTCAGTTGTACTTTGGAGTGAAAAAGCAGAATGATCCTATCAATGGGCTGATGTCTAACATCATGCGAATATTCGGAGACGAGGGTAGTAGTGAGTTAACAACTGACGAATCGCCGGCCTCAGGGTCTGGGAAAACAGCATCATCGCCGACTTCTATGCTGTTTGATGATATTGACTAAGAAGGAGAGAGTCTATGTCTTTTAGTATCTCTGCTTTTCGCTTATCCTTTTCCACACCCCATTCACAAAATCCTTACTTGGTTGGTCTTGGCCTTATGATTTCATGAATATACTTATTGCGATGAAAGAAAGCTGTCATTTTTATCTCATTCTTTTACTATTTAACTTTATATCCCTTGCTTGTTGCTAACGTAACAGTAATTAAGTTGGGTATTATTATCCTGGTCTATGCCGAAATTTGAAATGCTCTTGTGTAAATGATGGAGACTTCAATATTCTAAATTGCGAAACTTGTTTGAAATAGAGAATGAATAAAGTAAAAGTGAGAGGTAGTTGCTCTTTTGTCTGTCGGATGAGATTATTAGTAGGGTTCTATTGTCCTTGCTTTCAGATTGGGTTATTCTGTTTAGGAGTTAATGCTTTCACGTATACCGGAAGTTTGATATTGTTTTTTTTTTATAAGCGTTAGAGATCACCTCGATGGCAAGGTTAGTCGCCGATCACCATTCTCTGACCAACCATATTCGGGCTATGAGTAAATATTCCCAGGCGAATCACAATGCGACCAAACCCGATAGCGATGTTTTAATAAATTCTCATTTGTACCAATAAAGCTTGTCTTGTCACTAGTCTAGTCTTGTTTATCTCTCTCTCGCGCTGGTTACTGTGATATGCGTTCATAATAGAGGGTAAGACAATTAATGGCGGCACGTTGACTAGTGATAGCCAGCATAATCCTTGCTTCTTTTTATAGGTTACTCTTTGTTCTAAACGAAAAATTCCCGTGACATTGAGTGAAATAGGTTGTCAGGTGACAGTGAAGCTAAGATCTACTGATCGTCACTCATATAAAAAGTCATGAGCTTGTTTACAATCGACACCCACTCCGGGGTTAGAGCTATGTCTGGCTATTATGGAAGGCAGAAACATGAAACTCCAAAAAGGTTAGCTGAATGCTACTGCATTTAAGTTACTTAGTCGCTAGTAGGTAGATGACAGTGATAGTCCATTAGGAGAAAGTGACCTCAGGTTTAAAGTAATTGTGTCAAAATATACCATTTTCAAATTTAGAACTTGTTTCTGTAGGCTTCAAAGAGGTGCGCCGTCTTTGGATTCATGGATTTTCAAATTGAGCAATTTAAAACTTCGTTTTCAGTTTACTTTCATTTGTTCGATAATATCAGGTCCTTGTTAAATTCTAATAACCTCAAGTACTGATTTATTGAGTTATTTATTTCGAACAGTTGCGACCACAGAGTTAACTAGCAGAAAACTAGGTAAGACAAAGGAAGAAATTCGTAACATGGAGAGTAGGTATACCACATTGAACAAAAGGTAGAAAGGGGAAAGACGATGTGAACAATTCAATCTTACTTTTAGTATTTGGACACATAGCGTAATACTTCGAAAGGCAAAGTAAAGAGATGCACAATTGTGTGATGTTGGGAGGTGTGTAAGTTAAAAGCGTCATCTTTCCTTCCCGCCAGGCCTAGTTCTTGTGAACCATCCCAATCTGAAGTTATCAGGAAAACGCTGCACAAATTGGGGGGGGGGGGGGGGAGACAAATACTACAAAAGGGCCAACAAAAGGGGAGATAGACAGCAAGTTAACAGTGTAATTGCGGGGAGCACAATCTGAGTATAGGTTTGTTGCAAAGAATATTATAAGCACGCATACTAGAGTGAAATTTAAATAGAGTAGAATGGTAGGCCAGGAAATATTAAGAAAGTAGTCCGCTTCTCACAGTATCTACTTCCGTCAAAACTCCCCACTGGTCGACTGCAATCCCATTCGATGGATTGAGTGGTTGTTAGTTTAGGTGACTCCTAATTCCTCAGTGGCAGCACCCATGATAAATTTGTATTATGTTCTCATCAATATGGATGAGTCCGGTACAAATTGAGACCACTACATGTCCGTGAATTAGCTAGGCTTTTGTGACCCAGTAAATAGCGAATTTAAAAGTAGGAAAGTTCCACTGGTTAGTAGAGCAAATCAGCATGTATTCAGCTAAAAATGACAGATGATGTGAAGCTGACCAGGCTCTTAATTACCAGTCGTGCAAAAAAGTGACTCAAGGATTTGAATAAAAAGCTATGTTTATATAAAGTTAAAAATAAGCATGGTATTTCTAATTTATTACCTAATTTTACGAATTGAAACGAAAACAATACATTCTATACCTTTAAACCCATTTCATATCCTAAACATTGAACATGAAATTCACAACCAGTTGCGACGGTTTGCGGTCAAGGGTTAGGAGTAATGCCTTAATATTTAAATAAAATCGATAATTGCTTTACCAAAAGGCCAATCTGGTACGTTCTTAATCGTGGTTTTATACGTAATCAAGATTGATTGTTACGTAACTTAATAGTTCCCACCCCAAAGAAGACTACCTGAAAATATAAAGGTCAAAATGCCTTGGATTTATTAACTATGCATCTTTAACTCCATTTATAAATGCTTCAATGTCATTTTCAGGCCAACCCTAACGCTTAAAGTGAGTAAACGTTTCTGAATGCATCATTACTGAAGTTATTTTAAAAGCTCTACTTATAATTAAAAAGTGGACTATTATTTTTACTACCACACAATCAGTGCAGCACAATGCCTTTCATTCTCTCATTTTTTGATTGGTTGTCACGTACTGACCTTGTAATCATTCCCTCATCCTTATTGGCTCACTATGCGCTATCATCCATCATGCAACCAATCGTAGTTGGGTGCATTTGCAATTGGTTTAAGCCAACATGCATGCTAGCTCAATCCGCTCCCTTTTCGCTTTGTCGTTGGTCTGTTATAAGCTAGCGTATTGAGAACCAACTCTGAGTCCTCTAGAATAATGTCGGTTAAGAGTGGACGGCCACCTCCCCGTCCAATGGACAGTGCTATTGGCAGTCCATACACCCCAACTGGGGCTGATATGGGCCTTGGATTGCAAGCCATCTATCGAGCTTGCCATCGCCTCTACCCTGACCAGCCTAGTCCCCTTCAAGTCACAGCTTTGAGGAAATTCTGGATGGGTGGACCGGATCCTCTCGACTACATCTATATGTTCTCTAATCCGGGTTCCCCCGAGGCTCGTAGTTCACCACATTGGCACTATGTCACCAATGGACTTTCTGATCTCTACGGTGATGCGAGGCTGCATAAGTAAGTTGTCTGCCATTTTGTACTTAAATTGTCATATAACTAAGAAAAGTAGACTTTTGCCCTTTACCCGGACCACATACGTTCGTATTATCGTTATCGTTCGTATTTTGTCTTTCTGCAACGCAATCACTGCGTCATTAAGAGTGTTTTGAGGAAAAGAGGCACTATTTGTCAAAGATTTAATTCAACCCTATGTACCTGATTGAGGGTTGGTAATTGGGTTTCCAGGTGTGGATTGACTTTTCCCCCCTCATTATTAACGTTGGTCTTTTATTTCAAAATAAAATTATTTTAAACCGTAGAATAAATCTAAGCTGTGCTCTGTTCCTGTGTGCGGTCGGCCGGCCACACATAATGCGCCCAAACAACAATCTCTTTACTCCATCACGTAGGTTTTTACCCACCTCAGTTCACTAAAACCACCTAACTAGACCACCTTATCTCATCTTTCTAATCTCCGGGACCCCAACAGTTGCTCTAACGATTTGTTAGTTAGTTAGTCAAGTATACCGTAGTTGCCTATTTGACGTGTTTTTTTTCTGGCTGCTCTACGTCTTTCATCACACAATAGGCATATATGTGGGAGTCAGAATTCGCCTACTGTCTACCCATTTTACTGACATGCTTGTTGGTTGTTCGATTGTCTAAACTGCTGGCTACTTTTCTTTCCCATTTCCTATTCTGACCGAATGGCCTACTTGATTGTTAATAGTAATTTTTCACTCTCTGTTTCAACTGGAAAGTCGAATCGGTGGGATAAACACAAAGCCGAAGGGTGTGCGCATAGGGTGTGTTGAAAGAAAGACCCGATTTTTGTACCTCTATCTTTGTGATATGGGAGGGAGGGGTAGGGAGTACATTGTGTTGCTACCTATTTTTGCTGGGGTGCCGATGTGAATCAGCAGTTCTTTTGCAGTGAACGCGTATGTTCATACACACATACGCACAAGCAGGCTGGCTGGCAAACTGGAGAAAGTTTGCCATTTCGGCACGCCTTGTGTTGATAGTGATGACAGTTTTCCTGGCGCAATATTATTGCTATCTTAATTATCTTTTCCACTCACTCTTTTTCCCTCTGCACTATCAACAAATATCTCTCTGCCTTTGAATATTGCCTTGCTACAAGAGAAAAATCAATAGGTTTATAAAATCGATATTCAGCCCTTAAATCAATCTTTAGTGATTTATTGTTTAATTGCGAACCCCCCATTCTCCCACTTGGTTTAATTGATTTTGTTTTATCGCACTAATTCTTCTCTCTTACATCTGTGCTCCCTAAGTTCAATGTCAATTAAAATTCTAAGCATTTTGAATTTCATTATTTCGCGCGTATTAGTCTGTTTAGTTTTATCTAACTGAACTGCAGGAAGGTGAAATTTCTGTGCTGTTTCCCGAAATTCCTCCTTATAATTTGAACAAATTTTTGTGTAAGTGCCGAGAGAGAGAGAGAGTTGAACACATTAATTATTTCCCTTTAATTTGAGCTCAAGAAGACGCTAATAACAAGCCTTGGAACCAAGCTATTAATCTCTCTCTCTCTCCTTCACTCTCTCCTCCCTTATACCAAATTCTCAAGTGGAAAAGCCCAAAAACCGACTCTCCTTTCTATTTTCGTATTCAACTTTTTATTGACGCCTTTCGATCAGTCATCAAAGTATACTTGTGTCTTTGACACAAAAACCTGTTATTTATTTCATCAATAAAAAAGTACCATTAATTAAATAGTCTCAAGGTCTTTGGGAGTGTGAAAAACGGCCTAGTTCTTCGAGTTAATCGTATCGAAATTAGTTTAATTTGATCGTTCATGTACGCCTGTTTGGAGAAGTGTTGAATCGTGCTCCCTTTGGGTTGTTTTTTTTGTGTCGTGGCTAACTAAATTTGAATCGATTCATTTAGACCTCTGAGGCCACCCAAATTAAAGTATGATAGACCTACATTGTATAAATGATCGATTCAAGAATACCGTTGTTGTCTCAGAGAAGTATGCATTCCCTGAGGCTAGATATGGTCGAATTTAGCTTAGTGGTTAAGAGTAAACAGTGCTGTCTACCTGGTGGTCTAGATTTACCTTGAAATCAGGCTTTAAATGAATCGGCGATTGGGCTCTGAAAGGGATTGAGGAATTCAAAGTCCTTAATTTCGTCATAATTTGATATGTGGAGACTTTTGTGCCTTGCCTCAACTTTTTAAACCAGCAAGCAATTGGTAATTATAATATATATACTGTGTAGCCTCCTATATCTGCGCTATTTTTTCAATTTTCGCTTAGAGTTGGCTGGATAATTTGTCACATTTACTAACATTTTATTTAGATCTGATGCCTAACACTCTTTATAAATAGCAACCCGATTCCCTCAATCTATCATTATTTATAGCCTTGGGATTTCGGATTCGGAATATATATATATATATATATATATATATATAGTACTTTAAATTTTAGCAACTTTTATTCTACTTGATTTGACATAACTAAATCAAGAAAAACAGCCAATTTAATTCTGACTTGGTGTCCATTATTTAGGTGGTAATATATTTATTTGCTTCAGGTAGAAAGTTAAACAGAAGTCCATCATATTGCTAAAATGCATTTATTTCAGCTACCCACAAATGGAAACTCGATTTTAGATGCTTGATAGATCATAACAGTGACCTTTGTATCTTTTAGTGACTATGTTCTGCAATTAAATTAGATATTTACTCGCGTTTGGCCAATCTCAATTACTTGCAGAATTCCTAAGCTTACTCATTAGCTTTAATCGTTAAAGCGTATAGACGAGAACACTTCGATTTCAAAGAAAATAAAATCAACTGTTTGTCTTTCTCAGTTGTTCAACCTCTGTGGACGGTCCAAGCGGTTTTGGTTTCGAGTTAACTTTTCGTCTTCGCCGTGAGCCGGGCGAAAAAAGCCCGCCTACCTGGCCAGCTCATTTGCTGCAGAGTCTTGCTCGTTACGTTTTTCGATCCCAGGCCCAATTGTTGCCCGGTGATCACATTCCCTGGCACTGTCCTCTCGATCAACTTCCTTCTGCGTCCACTTCAAGTAATGCTACTCCCGGGGGACCTCCTGCTCAACAAACAAAGAATTCCTCCCCCGCTGCCACCAGTTTACAACAACAGCAGCAGCAACAACAACAACAATCTGTCGCCATGGCAGCTGTCGCCGCAGCTGCTTCCCTGATCGCAGCTCAAGCGTCAAATCAGGGTGGAGAACCCATTGACCCGGCGACCTACTCATCTGCCTTGGCCGCAGCCGTTTCTGCAGCTCAGGCTGAGTATGCGAAGCGAACGCAAAACAAGCAGCAGCAGCAGCAGAAAATAGCTAGTCAACCAGAGACTTCAAGGATTCGACACATGCTTCTAGTGGACGATCCACAGTTGGCGAAGATCAACACGCCTTATGGTTGGGTTCGATTTCTTCAGGTAGGTGATGATTAATATTTTTGGCTGTAGTCACGTTTACCATTCTTTTAATAATTGGTTTCAAGTCCCATAAGCCGAATAGACTTGCGAGCAGGTTGCTGCAGAAGAACGCAACTTACTAACCCCATTGAGAGAATCCTTTGTCGACACAATTCTCATGCTAAGGGGAGGAATCATGGCGTCTAATATTGATCAAAAAGATGGATCAAAAGATAAAAATTCTTCAATAATTCGTTTTAATTGCTCACTCCTTTAATTAAAAACGATTATATGAAGGTTGTATCTACTGGAGGAATGTCAAATATCCCAGATACGCCGGTTGATTTGGCTCGTAGATTTTGTTTCCCATTGTGGAGAATATGGGATCGTACTTGCATTTTAATCTTGGTGATAAGTGCGACAAGTCAGAGCGGCTGCCTGGCTTCAGGCGGCTGGAACCCTGCTGACAGGTCGACCTAATTAACTTCACCTCTTCCCAAGATGCTCCCAGTGGGGTGCATCTCTATCACAGCATGCCATCTTCACCGGGGGGGGGGGGGTGGGTCATCAGTCGCCACTGGCGCCAGTTTTGAGGAAAATTTGGCCTTTTTATAGGAAAATTTATTGCTTACAACCAGGAGGAAGGGAGATGCTTTTAATGACCGTGGCTTTTACGGTCCTGTCATACGACGCTTTCTGGTTGTAAATTAATCCTCCAAAAGTTTCCATTTTATGCTCTCTCTCTCTCCACGGCACTTGTTTACATTTAAAATCACCGCTCGAATTTACGTTCTCTTCAACTAATCAAAGTTAATCAAGAACGTTCCCTTACGAAGCAAGTTGTCAAAATCGAACTTTGAACGATGCAAGCCCATGTTTATGTCTATCAAATGAGTTTTTTCCTTTTATACTAAAGTTCCATTAAATCAGATTTAAATCTTACGAGATGGTTCAAGACTTGGTCCTTCCTTAAACCATTCAAGTTTTACGCCGATTATTCGGGTTTTATCTGCTTAACTTCTAACAGGATTGACAGGCATTTAATCGATCTTGAAAGTCACCTAAAACAGCCGTTTTCAGCAAAACTGCTTTACTTGACTTAAATAACAGACGCTATTCTAGTATTTAAGTCTTAAGTCCTTCCGTCATCTACTGTCTAAGACAACAGAAATGAAATTTTTGTTATTAATGGGGAACTGGAAGATAATTGAACGGTCATTTTGATTCACTTAAGAGCTCTTTATAAGTGTAATTATCACTAAATGCCTAGAATCAAATTAACCTAATGACCTTTGACTGTAATGTTAATTCGCTAGTGATTGTATCAAGTATTTTATTCTTGCGTTCATTTTCAGTCTCAAATTGCTGTTTTCTCAGGGTACTGTTTGGAGGAGAGGGGATGGGGGGGGGTCTATATGTGGTGGGAGCGGGCGCTTTGTGAATGGTTATGGCAGATTCAACTTCTTGGGAGGTGAGATTCCTCTGAAGAGCGTGAATAACTTTTATTTATTTTACTAATTACAAGCCACTAAACGCATTGCTACTAAGGCATTGGAAGTAGACTACGCTAGCAAATTTGTTAGACATTTTGGTGGGTAGACAAATGAGAAGCTACTAACTAAGATGTGTTCCCGCTGAACTCCATGCTCATCGTAGTACTGTTTATCGATTCTTGATCCATCTTGTTATTTCTCATATCATTTCAGGACTTTATGTTCTCCAATTTCAATACTGCTAAAGAATGCTTGTTTAGGTTACACCTAATGCAGCAAACACCATTCTGGTTGCAAGCGCTCAATTGCTTTGAACTAGCACCTCGAATACTACGTATGTGGTGTCAAGACTAAACCACAATTTCGCGTTTTCTGCGTGATTCGCATAGTGTGAATGTCTTTTTGCGGCGTGTTATGCCTTGATCTCATGGGAACTGTTCAATGGTGTGAAAATTAATTTGTACAAACTGACTTGGCATTAAGTTGTCTACGTGTATAGCCTGTCTGATTGTCATGATCGCTACGTACAAAAAATAAACACGGGCCTGAAATTTAACGAAGCCAATAGTTTTACTGTCAATGACCACCGTTAAAATGTTGCGAATATCTTCCAAACTCATTTAGGAAAGTGTTTACCAACACTTGTCTTGGTTAGAAGGTCAGCATCGTGAAGATGGAAACCAATCTGTTAGTGGGAGAATAATTCTGCAGGGTGTACACAGCCATCAAGGCAAATCAAAAGAATTTTGTGCGCATAGCTGCTAGTTAAAGTGTTAGCTTCTGTGATCTGGTTCTGGCACATTAGTTACTACAACTAGGTAGCTTACCGAATTGGCAACCTTAGTTTCTCTTTTCCATTAATACCTCTTAAGCAATTTGAACCTCTCATCTCTTTTATTTTCTATATGGCTGACCATTATCCTAAATGGGTGCGTACCGAAAGGCTTCGAAACCAATGACCTCTAACTATATAGATAAGTGCTTTACTCGCTACACCATTTTAATTTTCTATAAACAAGCAGATTTTGAACCCTTGCGAAATCCGCCTGGTATTACTGCGTCAAGATGCGGCATTATATGACCGCAAAATGAACCACTTTTTGGGCATTGAATCTCGCATACAAATGCATCAATTTCAGGCAAGAAATACCGTCTGGATGATTGAAATAAGACCGATCTTGACAAAGCCAAAGTGGGTTTGTGGTGCGGCGCGTGGCCAATTCAGTTTTATTGTTAAGATGTCGTAAACCTCGGACCAGTCGTGTTCGTGTTGCTCGTGTGATGGCTGCATGCCCTTGTCCAATTGTCATACGCCCACATCTAGGTTTTTATCACTAATTGACACGTCAACGGAAGGTAAAACGGCCACCCAAGTGGTCAGAACGAAGCAACTAACCGGATATATACTGAGTCATGTTCTACTTCATGAAAATTTTTACTCACTTCCGGCTTCTATCTTTTATAGAACTAAGTGAAAAAGTCCTTTTACGCGATGGGTTAATTCTGAATCACCTTGGTATGGAAATGTGGCATATGAAAAACGTTTGAAATAGCAAGCAGTTTTATTTTTATACTTGAGTTGTATTTCGATATTTGTCATCAGGTATTTTACTCCGCTTGCGTCTTCGTTGTGGAATCGATCACCTTGTTTTTTTTGCATAACAGCTATTGTCGATCGATGCGTCGACTTGAGCATGCACTTTTGTAGTGATCCAAACCACCACCACCGTCTTTGCACTTTTACATCTGGTTTCCAAAGCTTATTGTTCGCCTATAACTGGGTCTGTTTTTTTTAATATTTAACTGTCTGGAGATCATGCAGATTTGCATCGAAATAAAATTTTTTCCACACTGAAATCGCTTTTTCATAGGGGGTTATCTTCAACAGACAGCTTTTTCTTTAACCACGGGTGCAATCTCCGTTCTATCGCGTTGAACGAACAAAATTATTCTTTTTTTTATGCTTGAGTTATTGCAAAATGCTATAGCAAGCATTTCTTCATGCGGATTTCTGAACGTTAATGTTTGTTGAAATTTTATTTTCTGCCATATTTTTGAGTGGCGGTAAGTTCTCCCCAGGGTGGAGTAAATAATTAATTAAGTGTCCTCAACTTTTTCTAATAGTTTCCTCAAAATACCTCCTTACATCGTGGTCACTGGCTCTTCGGTGATATTTCCATCGAAACTTATAATTTTGGAAGCTTAAAACTCAGCTCAACAGTGGTTTTCTTTTGAGAAGTTTCGGGTTTTATAAACAAATTAAATCAACGCCTTTGCTCAATTCTATATCTCTGAATATGCATCGTGTAATAAATTAACTTTTAACGAACACAAGTTGAAATTCGCTACTATTTAACAAAGTTGAACCCCCTGTGGTAGGTCCACAATTTATGACTGGGGTGTGCCACCATTGTCGTTTCAGCTTTCCTGTTCACCACCCCCCTCCCCCCCCCCCCCANCCCCCCCCCCCCCCCCCCCCCCCCAACCTCCTACATCGAGCGCTGTTGGATTGTTTTTTGTTCACTTTGTATTTTATGACCGTAAATACACGCGCATATGCAAGTGCTATTAAAGCCTCTATTTCCAGGCTTGAATTTTGTTATGAATAAAATCAAATTGTGATTATTTTAATGGAGGCTTAGCTTAAGAGGCAAGAATAAAACAAGGGGAACTTGCAAGTGCAGAGATTTCAAGTGGAATTTTACAAACTGAAAACTATCGGATTTTGGTGTGATTTCGTCAGTTTAATCTTAAAAAAGTGAGATTTTCTAACTCCGTGTGTCTTGGAATAAGTTGAGTATAAGTAGGACTGGCAAGAGAAAAATCACTCCAGTTTGACTAAACGCAGCGGTTAACGTGTAGAGACCATCTGCGAACTCAAAGGCCTGGATGCCGACGTCTGAGGAACTAAATGAGACCAACAACCCCCATTGATTAGGTCTGACTACTAATGGGAATGTGAGATTGTAATTTTTTAACCAGGTGGTGTGGTGTCCAAGATACTGCCGCGCTGTAGAAAAATTGTTCTTCTTAAGTGTATTTGGGAGTCAATATAAAATATATTTTATTTCTAGTCTATTTTTTATTAAATTATTTCAATTGAATATTGGCCTCTTAGCGAGCTGAGGTTGGCATTTCTTGTTGTTCTGCACGTATAGTTTTTTTTAATATAAATAATGAGTTATGAAAAATTAACCTCATTGCCAAGGCATCTTGTTCTGTTAGAGTTTGACTTAAAGCTGGAAATTAGGCATTGCTGAATAGTTTGTGTCTGTACATCACCTGTGCATTTTAAACCGACCATCACCTTAATGAGCTACAATATCATGGTAATTTCAAGGTTCATCGATTTACGCCAAAAATATGATCTTCGGTGGTAAATTCTGAACGACATTGAGGGTCTGAACATTGTTCCCTCTATAGGTTGTTGAAACTTTTGCAACCAATGGTTTTAACCCTTAAAATGGGAAGACACCACTGCCCAATCTTTAAAATTGACCGATTCTAATGTATGTTCTTTTCTACCACTTGAAGAATTCGAAC